TCGACATAGCCACACCTGCACCAATAAAGTTTAATACACTATCCATGCATCCGTCTTTTCATGCGCGATTGCACCTGTATCTCGGGCATACCTGGATCGAGCATATTTAACAACATCTCAGGATTCATATGGTCATGCATTTCTAGATGATGTTATGTTATGTTATGTTATGTTATGTTATGTTATGTTATGTTATGTTATGTTATGTTATGTTATGTTATGTTATGTTATGTTATGCTATGTTATGCTATGTTATGTTATGTTTCACCTTTTAGTATTCCACCTAAACGTGTAATAATACGACAAGGACATGTTGCCGAGAGTGTTTACACATTACTATCAGGACAAGGTAACGTCTTTCTAAATTAATATGTAACGCTGATATCAAGAAAAGTCGTAGTATTGTGAATAGACGCAAGTTAAGAATTCCAAAATTGTTTAAATAGCCACATATAATAATAACAGAAATGTTCTGTGTTAAATGTTGGTGTCCTGAATGTCATTTTAAGTATAAACAGAGACACTGATTTACCCATCCACTAATCGAGAATAGTTGTGTAATGATTTTAACAAAGTACAATGAACAATAACAATATACATGACACAAAGTATTACACAAATACATGCATCAATATGTAGAGAAGTACAACAGTTAATGAACGTATCTGTGTTGTTTGTCACGTGTCTATGAGTCATGTAATTTATCTCATTATTACAGTGATAGTGACACAGCTGGAAACAGACCCAGTAACCAAGGAAACCGTGCAGAGAACAGTGAATGTTTTAAGACGTGGTGCATGCTTTGGTGAAGTGGCTTTAATACATCAATCAAAACGTACGGCCACGGTTACTAGTAATGCTTCATGTGAATTGCTGTCAGTTAGTAGAGAGGTACGTACAGGCACGGTTACTAGTGATGTTTCATGCGAATTGCTGTCAGTCGGTAGAGAGGTATGTACAGACATGGTTACTAGTGATGTTTCATGTGAATTGCTGTCAGTGGGTAGAAAGGTACGTACAGACATGGTTACTAGTGATGTTTCATGTGAATTGCTGTCAGTGGGTAGAGAGGTACGTACAGACATGGTTACTAGTGATGTTTCATGTGAATTGCTATCAGTGGGTATAAAGGTACGTACAGATATGGTTACTAGTGATGTTTCATGCGAATTGCTGTAAGTGCGTAGAGAGGTACGTACTGACATGGTTAAGAGTGATGTTTCATGTGAATTACTGTCATTGGGTAGAGAGGTACGTACATACATGGTTACTAGTGATGTTTCATGTGAATTGCTGTCAGTGGGTAGAGAGGTACGTAAATACATGGTTACTAGTGATGTTTCATGTGAATTGCTGTCAATGGGTAGAAAAGTATGTACAGACATGGTTACCAGTGATGTTTCATGTGAATTGCTGTCAGTGGGTATAGAGGTATGTACAGACATGGTTACTAGTTATGTTTCATGTGAATTGCTGTCAGTGGGTAGAGAGGTACGTACAGACATGGTTACTAGTGATGTTTCATGTGAATTGCTTTCAGTGGGTAGAGAGGTATGTACAGACATGGTTTCTAGTGATGTTTCATGTGAATTGCTGTCAGTGAGTATAGAGGTACGTACAGACATGGTTACTAGTGATGTCTCAGGTGAATTACTATTAGTGGGTAGAGAGGTACGTACAGACATGGTTACTAATGATGTTTCTATACATTGCTGTCAGTGGGTAGCGAGTTACGTACAAACTCGGTTACTAGTGATATTTTACGTGAATTGCTCTCAGTGGGTATAGAGGTACGTACAGACATGGTTACTAGTGATGTTTCATGTGAATTGCTGT